ACACTTTAAGCTCCTTATAAAAAAATAAATTAATAGAATATCTTGCACTGAAAGAGACCCATAGGGATCACACGGGTCTAACTCTCTGCTCTTCACAGGACTACCTAAAACTAAACAATACGACTCAGCACATCATCCAGATGCCCCTGGAACTCTGACAGACTTGGTGCCTTCCCTGGGAAGCCTGTTCCAGTGACTAGCACCCTCCCAGTGAGGAGTCTTTTCCCACTGTCCAATTTGAAACTTCCCCTGATGCAGCTTCCTTCCATGTCCTTGTGCCCTGTCACTGGTACTCGGAGAGGAGACCAGCACCCTTCCTGAAGGTGTGGGCTGCGATGAGGTCACACCTCAGCTTTCTTTCCTCCAAGCTGAACAAGCCGAGGGACCTCAGCTGCTCCTCCTCAGTCACACCCCCGAGACCTTTCACCGTCTTGCCCAGCCTCCACTAGACTCACTGTAATGGTTTGATGTAGGTCTTGTATTGAGGCATCTGAAAGTGCACACAGGATAGTGAGGCTGTCCCAGTGCAGGACAATCCCCCCTCCAGCCACCCACCAAGGATGCAGTGCCTGATGCACCCCAGCAGGACATGACCGGCCCTCATGGCTGCCAGGGCACTGCTCCTACTCCTTACTCCATATTCTCAGCAGCAATAGTAACCTGTCCTACCCAGGAAAAGGCTAAAAAAGCACTTCCGGGAAAACTGCACATGCTCTGGAGTCAAAATAATGCCCTATCATCTCAATCTCCTCCTTACAACCTTTCCTAAGGAAACAGGGCTGCACTCAGCTCCAGGCACGTGGGGGACGAGCAAGCCTCACGGCTCAGAAACTGCACCACAAACCCACAACAGGCCCGAAATTCCTACCAAAGGTCGCCCATCTCTCATCTTCACCATCTGCGCGTCTCCACAAGTAGGAGACCGCCTTAGAAAGGAGAGAGAGCATCCCGGAGCGCCTTAGCAAGGAGCCGGAGCCCCAGGCCCGTCTCAGAAGCCGCACCGCGGGCCCAGCCGGCGCGCGACGCCTCCCTGCAGCCGCCTCGAGCCCGCGCGGCTGCCGCGGCCAATGGCGCTGCTCGCTCCGGGTCACGCGGCAGCGCCACGCGCCTCGGGGGCGCCCGCGGGCCTGCGCAGGGGCGGCCCCGGCGCCGGGAAGGGCCCTCAGGGCGCGGGGCTGCCCTCTGCAGGGGATCGGCCGGCGGCGCTTGAGGGCACGGGAAAGGTGGAGTCGCACGAGGCTACCACGGAAGAGCTTAAAGGAAGGGAGTGTGTGCAGCTTGTTGCTTGGTGGTGGTGCTGTCTGAAATTGTGCTCGTAGTGTATGACAGCGTTCGTGCGATGGGACGCCTGAACCAGGGAGAATCCACGGCCCGGCTGTGACCTCCCCTGGGGTGAGAGCTCTGCGTGGCTCTGGGAATAGGCCAGGCACGGAGCCCCTCCAGTGTGCTGAAACACTGGGCTTGGAAGAGCATGCACGTGGCACATTGGTGGTTTGTGATGCTCTCAGTAGCAGCCAGTTTCAAAATGATAGGATAAATTCCAGAACGTGGTAAACTTGCCTAACAGGAAAAGAAGGTGCTTTCGACTTAATGTCATTAATAAAGGAGCTGCTGTAGTGCTTGAGGAAATATGATTTCACTGACTTGTTTACTATCTCTGTAGTTCTAGAGAGTTACTGTCACTGTAGTTCTGTGCTTGCTATCCTTGTAGTTACTATCTCTGTATTTTTTACCAGTTCTCTTCACACAGTGCAGTTCAGATATCTTGTGTAAGGCCTCTTTGCATTTTGTTCAACAAATGCTATTTCACAAAGCAAAGTTTTTTGAGTTGATACTCGGCATTCCAGTGTTTTAAATAGGAACTGCCATATAAAGCTGTTCCAGGAGATGCTTTCAGGATGTTGAGGAGAGAGCAGTGTGTAATTTTTTGTAGAAATCACAAAATACACTGCCTAAGTTGTGTGACTAAAGCAGCAGTTGTCTTTGGCAACTTTTTAGTTTCTGGCTGTATGGTTCACTCAGCGTTATTTAGGAAAAGAAGGGCTAGGAATGCACTTCAGATGGTTTAACACTGTTAGAGAGTTCTGTACAGTTCCTAGAGCAGAATAAGTTCTGGTTGCCAGTAACTGCACACAGGCTCCAGTGTCTCATTCTGAAGTAACTGAGATGATGCCATTGGAAGGAGAAACGTGCGTGTCTGTAGCCAGTGCTGTTTTTGGAAAAGTGCTGAGAGAGCGTTGGCCTCTTTTGGATACATTGATTTAAAGAATTTTAACTACTGTTTTCTTTCACTGAGTTTCCAGTGGGAGTGCTGACAGGGGACTGTTAGCTGGCATAAGTGTGGTGGCTGAAGAGATTGTTTCTGGAAAAGATGATGGTTTACATGAAGGACTAAATCCAAAGTATTTTATACTGGGAGAGCAAATGTTATTCTAGGGGAGCAAGGCATCCATTTGAAGCTATTTCATCTACATTTTGATCTTGGTTCAGTACGTGCCCCAAGACGTGAGACATGGACTGAGGAGTCAGCTTCAGGGAAATAAAATAGGTCAAAGAGCTGGTTTTAAAAGAGGTCAAAATACTCAACAAGGAATACAGGTAATGAGCTAAAATATCATAATTAAATATTGTATGAAAAAACACAAGTGTAGTGCAGCTATTAACTCCTCAGAAAATGGAAGAGTTGGTCAGATGCTAAATGTAAACTTCACCAGAGCTTCAGGTGTGGTTTTCATTTAGATTTTGGAATGTGTGTGTGAATCTTCCTTCAGGGCTAGGGAACATGGCCCGGGACAGAATGCTTTTTCCTTAGTCCTTGATAGCAAAAGTAGGACTCTGACAAGTTTATGTACCTTTTTGTCACACTATCCCTTGGCACTTGAGTTATAACTGGTAATCTGTTTTTTATCTTTTGTCATTACTGTGGGTGATGCTTGCATTGCACACAGCCTGTGGCAAATGACCAAGTATCTGCTATAGCTGCTTCAGGCACACTGACTTATTCAGTGGTCAGTCCTGTGGTGGAAGTATGTAGTTATTCATAGCTGCTCATGATTTGATTTAATTGTCATCCCTTGGCATCTTTTAGCCTAACTTAAAATCAAAACACTTAACTTGTAAATCCTTTTCAGAAGCTTCTCTTGTTGTGTTTGAAATTTTATACTTGCTGCAGCCTTTGTGGAACATTCCTATGCATTCTTTAGAATAAGGAGGAATCTCTTTGTACATCACATTTGTACCTTATCTAGCATTAGAAGGTCTTAGTCAATGACTTGGGTTCTGATCTTGCACAAAAAAGAGACTTTTTCTGGAATCAGGAACATGAGGTGAAGGGAACATAAAATAAACGCCCCAGAAAATTTTTAGAGTAGAAACTAAACTTTGAAGTTTAAGTGTTCTTTGCTCATGCTGATGCCAAGTGCAGAGGATGCATTAATTATGCAATGAACCTCTGTGCAAAAGGGAAATGGGAAATACTGAGAAGTACACAGGAAAGGGGGTAGGAGGAATTTCACAATAACCTGAGAAAACACTGTATAACCATGCTTGAGAGAGGGAACTTTCAGGAACAGTACTGGCTGAAACACTTGGAACTGTGAACAAGTTGTTCTAGGGTTTGAACCCTGCTCTGGTCAGTGGTGCAGGACTTTAAAAATTCTTTTTATTCAAAGAGATTAGATCAAGTAAATACCTGACTATCTCACCAATTTTGTGTAAAAAATAAACAAAACAAAACAACAACAAAAAAAACCAACCCACAAACCTTCTCCCTAAACTGATCAAAAGAGTTAAAATATGATTGTGTTTTGTGTCTATGGTAATTTGTGTCAATCAGTTCCTAGTGTTCACTGAAAAAGCTGTCAGATAAGCAATACACATTTTCCATTAAACCATGGTCTTTGGAAAGTTACAGATAATGGAAATAGTTGTGCAGTGTTTCTTCCATGAGCAGCGGAACAGTAGGGCTTAATTACTTTAGAAAGTTCTGCTTGACTGTGCAATCTTTTTTCCCCCTCTTTTCTAGCACAGTTTACAGATGTGTCTATTGCTGTGTATGGTGTACTAATTCCCTTGTTTAAATCTATTAAAACAACTGTAACATTTTAATATTCTTTCAGTATTGGCTGACATTATGAAAAAAGGAAATCTACAGTCTGTACAAACTGAGAAGTTGTGCTGTTCAGAAGTTTTTCTAGCATACTTTGAAGGTGATGCCCTTCAGAATACTGAAGATTTAATTGTGTCTTGGTTACAAGAGTGTTTAAAGTTTAGACAAAAGACCCTGTCATTGCTGTAGCTGTCAAGGTGCCAACATCTTCAAGATAAAAACGTCCTTTTTTTCCCCCTTTTCATTGCTTAATAAGCAGGAGGACTGGGTCCAATGTACGCTGGCCATTGCATGTCAGTGCTGCCTGCTGGGCTGAAAATATGTTGTTTAGTCATCTGGGTGCTCTGTAAGTGCGAATGACGGCACGATTGAAATGTGCCAGCTTTGTCTGGGCACTCCAGAAAACTGGGCTTAGTGGAAAAAGACAGACAAGTGTCCTGCAGTGAAAAGAATAATCTTGATAGATTTATAACCTCTAAATTTTGAGCTTCCAATGTTGTTGAGATACTGTAATACTTGAACTTTTATCTGTAGTTTTTTTTTTCTAGGAGAATATTGCATTGTAAGTGCATTTTGCTCTTTTGAAACAAGAGCTCAATTGTTAGATATTATGATCACCGGGTATTATGATAGCCAAAAGTGGAAAAGTAAGGAAACTTTTATTTAAGATGCTAAGTAAGGGGTAGTACTCAAATAAAAAAGGGACATGAAACTTTTAATTTGTTGGTCTGATTTGGAGGCAGCCCTACGAGATGTAGTACAGTCATTTTCTAGTGTGTTCTCTTAATTAAAATTCAGGAGGCATTTTCCTGTTCCCTGGCTTAACTGAAGTTCTTGCTGTGCTTTTGTTCCATATCTGAATAGATGTTGTTGAAAGCCAAAGTGTAAGGGAGAACTTTTCAAAGCCGGCATGACTCACTGAACGGTGAGAATATCACAAAGTGTACAGGCAGCTGTGTTCACAGGGCTGTTTGAAACTGACAGTTCACTTTTCAGTGGAAGGTAAGCACCAAGGTTTTTAACTGTTGAAAAATCTACAGTAACTTAATTCTAATATAAGATGCTCCTCATGGTATTTTAAGAGGTTGGGAAGCAGTGAGGTGAACAAAAAAGGATGAAGTGAACAAGAGAAATGGTTGATACTGGGTAAATTAGAAACAGTTTGCTGTAGCTGAGTTATTGTGGGTTTGTGTGTTCATGGGTCTCATAGGGAAGTCTGTCATTTTAGATAGCTGATAAAAAGTGTTGAAAACAAATGGAATTTATATTGAAACCTGTTTGATTTTCTTTGCTGTCCTAGAGTTGAAAAAGAAAAAAAGCTTTGTTTATAGAGGTATGCACTAACTAAACACCTCTAAAACTGGTTCTTAGATCTTGAAATGATAATTTACTGGGGTATCATAGATACACAAACTTTAAATATGTTGGTACTTTTACTATGTCATTATGAACTGTGGCTGTAGGATGAAATTTAGTTAAGGTGTGGAAGTAAGTTGTTAGAAAGTTCACATATTTTGAGATGTAAATACATCCAGTAGCTAAACATTGTGTTTATATATTTTGTCTTGAATACAAAAAAACTAGTTGAGCACTGATTTTGGTATGTGAAGGATCTAAATTACATTTTTTCTCTTTCTTTGTAACTTGCATTATTATTATTTAATTGCCTTTGTGAAGTGTTATGACCAGGGAAGAAGGTTACAGAGAAGAATTTAGCTATGACAGGATGCCAACTTTGGAGCGGGGAAAACAAGAGAATGGAAATTATATACCAGATATCAAATCCAGTGACCTTCAGCTGTCAAAGAGGCTGCATCCTTGCTTTAGTTACAAAACATGGATATTTTCTTTGCTGATGGGAGTAAGTACTTTAAATTATAGCAAATTTAAAAATACAGGCCTTAGTGCCCAGTTCTTAGTGCCTAGTGCTCTGTTCTGTTTGACATCATTTGAAGACTAAGAATTTCATCACTGATAGTATTGAAAAGAAATCTTTGTAAAAATAGAAACATATTTTGCAAATTTGGAATGTAGACTGCTGGTATTCTTTGACTATTTTTTTACTAATCAGAGGTGGTGTATGAAGGCTTATTTTTATCATTGATATTAACCATATAAGTAGAGAATAAGTTTGGTAGTGGTAAATATCAGCCCATGTGTATCTATAAGCAGTGCCTTTTGGTAGAATATATAAAGTATGCAGACCATATGTATTCTTTTAAAAATACTTTTATCTATTGAATGTACTCTGGCTGCCATGATACCATTTTTGCATTAAAAAGATATGTGGTATTGATTGCCACATTAATCTATCAGGGTTCAATAGCCACATAATTATTTGGTATAATCATTAATGTGGTGAGGTATATACTTGTGCTCCTTACAGAAACAACACAGTGATTTGAATTTTTGTGTTCACTGCTAGAATGACAGGATACTCATCTTGCATGTACATCATATGTTTCTCCATGTTCTGAGCCAAGTTAATTAAACTTCATTATAGCAATTAGAATTTGATCTTTTTCTGTCAGCTTGTGTGTTTTGAAGCGTACTTTTTATTAAGAACTAAGACTGTCCCTCTGTTAATATGGTAATTGCTTGTTTATGCACAGTGAATAAAAGTATTGCCTTATTTTTGTGGAAACAGCTGAGCATTTTTTCTTTTCTGACAAACTGCAAGCCTTGGATTTCCTTTCAGATGTACTGTCACATGAAAAGAGAGCAAAAGAAGTGCTGGCTTTATTTGCATTAAATTTTCTCACACTTAATTGTCCAAAAGAACAACTGTCTGTAATTTACTGAGTAGTTGTGAATTTTTGGAGATAATAATATTTAATGATCATTTGCTGAAGTCATATTATCAAGAAGAATGAATTTCATGGAAAAATGAAAATGCAATTTTATTAATAAACTCTTAGATTAAGTTCCAATTAGATTTTTCTTCCAAGTGTTTAGTCTCTATCAACCCTTCTGAAAGACAGTGTCCAGAAGAGAAAGTCTGCATGCTGAGCAATGTAAGTCACAGTGAACAGAACCATCTACTTCAGGGAGCAGATGCCAACTGTACAGTGACATCAAAGTGGCTGATGGGCTGGTTTGGTGCAGAAACAATTTGATGAGCATCAAGCACAATTTCAACTCGTGGTTCCATAGACTGTTCTAACAGTCTGCCAAAATTTTCTGTGTGTGTTTATACATGCACATATGCTTTCCTTATTTTCTGTCTTTTTTTGACAAGGACTCTTTAAATACCCCCAATAATTTTCTAACATGAAAAAAATAACCAAATAAAACAAAAGAGCAGTTCTGTCTCTTACCTTTCCCAGCTCCTTCAAAGAAATGCCTACTCAGAGGAATGACAAGGAAAACCAAAATAATGTTAGTAGAAGACACTACTGGCTTATTGCAGAGTGTGTAACTGTGGTAGTTATGAAATAAACTTTTTAAGGTAAGAGGAGCAGTTGAACATTTTTGGATGTGCCACTGAATGAAGGCAGGAGGAGAATTTGGAGGGATGTAGTGGAAGAAACTTCATTAATGTATCCCAATACTATTTTTACTGCTGTGTTCTAGTTGGCAATTGCCCAACTGCCCATATGCATAATGAATGTTGGTGGACTCAAGCAGGGAATGCAAAGTAGAGACATAGCTGAGGTTTCTGAAACATTTTTACCACTAAACACTGCAGTTACCTTTTGACTTATATCGAGGTATTTGCCAGGTCAGGACAAAATTCTTGATTTAAACATGAACATTGTTCATTATTAGGTCTTGGTAACCAGCAAAATATCTTCAGAAGTCAGTGTATTTTGATATTTTTCTTCAAATTTATTCACACAAAAACTGCATTCTTAAAAGTAGCTCAGTTTGAAAGGGGTTGATTACTGATTTATGTCTGACTAGTTTTTTTTTAACAGTTTTATTTATATAAATTTATTTTATTTGTTGCTTTGCAGACTTGCCTCCTTATTACTTCTGGATTTTCACTATATCTGGGAAATATTTTTCCATCTGAAATGGATTATTTACGTTGTGCAGCAGGTTCAGTAAGCATTCTTAATTATTTGCTGTGGCTGTTTGACAGCAAATGCAATAGTAAATAATTTTTGTGGTTTTATGTCTTTTATTCTTTCTTTTTCTACTGCTTTTCTTCATGGAAGATTTAATTATATTTAACAGTTCATTAAATGGATTTTTGTTGCATGGTTAAAGGAATAACTGTTGTCATAAAGACAACTGAGTTTGTGCTACCATTTTGGTTAATCAGCTCACCACTGGCATGCAAGATTAATCTGCTGAGCAGTTTTCCTGTGCTTGATTTTAAGAAAAATTTTGTTGCTATGTATTTGGAAAGTTTTCTGGCTATATGCTATCAAAATGTATTTCATATTATATCGTGAAGTGTTAATTTTTCAGTTTATTTTGCCATAATATCCATGTACCGAAGCAGATTAAAATTCTCTTGAATATTATTATTTTATTAGTAAAATAATGCATTAAAGTAAAATAATATGCGTTAAAGATGGCCGACATTTTCCAGAGTGCAATATTTTTTTCTGTACTTTGAGGGGTGCATATACATGTTTACTGTATTATATATACTTAGTTTGAGCTTTAGATATTAATAAGTCTCATGTACTTGCTTTGTTTATGGCAACATTCTGTCATTGTTATTTTCTCAACTTGACTTTTATATTTGTTTTTAAGTTAGGTCCAAGATTACTTGAGACAAACAAGTCCCAGGAGTTGCTCTGTGAATGAGTTATCACTTGGGCTTCTACTAAAGGTGTTAAAGTTGGAGGAGTTTAAGTCAGTATCCTCACAGATACCTTATTCTCTGCAACATTGGTTTAGTTACTGAGATGTCTCTTTCTCTGCCCAAACCTTGACTCTTTGAACTTCATGTTTGAAAATTTCCAGAGACCTGGTAGATCTTTGGCTGCAGCAGGTTTTCACCTTGGGTTTGAAGGTGTGCATGTTTGGTGTCTGTATGTGAGGAAGGTGTTGGAGCTCCTGCTGCAGATGGTGATGTTGGTGCAGTCGGAAGAGCCTAGAGAGACGTGGAGCCAGCTGGCCACCAAGTGTCTCGTTTAGCCCGAGGCTGAGTTGCTCTCTGGACTGTCACCATCTGGACTAGTACTTGAATTAAGTTGCCTAAACATAGTCCTGTAGTGTTCTAGGAACTCCTGTGTATCCAGGACATAGAAGAATGTTTTAATTATATTCAGTAAAGGTCATTTAGGTGTTGAGGAAGTGCTGCCAAGAATTTTACATATCAGTATTATTCTCTTTATAGTGTTCCATTGTTAAGCCATTAGGGTTCAGGTGTGTGGGAAGAGAATTAGAAATGTGGCATTTATTGCATGATTCATTATTTAACATAAGAACACTTTTATTATAATTTTAATAGGCATTTGTGTAAAATTGAGTTGGATCTGTAATGGAGCTATGTCTGTTGTGGTGGGGAACAGCGAAGGGATAGAGAAATTACTTTGTGAGACTTTTTATTTGTGCGTGACTTTTCCATTTATCTATGTCCTCAAGTAGGGAAACATAGTTCCCAGTGAGCCAAAAGGACATCCCAGGCACAATTCTCCAAGTTTGTCTTGACTCAGCAGATTTTCACAAGGTTCTTCAGAACTGTTTTGAGATTGGGCAAATTTTAGCTTACTCATTGAGGATGATGTGTGTCTAAAGAATGTGCAGGCCCAGTTTGGGAGTAGCACTGTTTTCTCCTGCTCAAGGATCTCAGGCCTTATAGAGTTAATTTAAACTAATGAAGGCATGAAATACCTCATGAAAGACTTTCTTTCTTTTACTCATCACATTATGCTGGGTAGTTAGTAAAAACTAAGGGATATGGAAGGTATATTTAAACTTCTTGTAATTCTCAGACACTGACTGTGATTAATGACTTCAGTCAAATGAAACTTTTTCTTCAGAGTTTCTGATCTTCTGTTTGTCTAAGTGTACTGAATATGAATTCAGACACATAAAATACATCTATAGAAGTATATATAAAATTCATTGTGCAGAAGATCCCACTAGTCTTTTTTTTTTAATTTTCCCAGTGTATTCCTTCAGCAGTTGTGAGCTTTGCTATAGCAAGGAATAAAATTAATGTGGTAAGTATGAAACTTTATTGTCAATTTTGTTTATTTCTCTATATGTCTATATCTATCTATATAATCTATCTCTGTATATCTGTATGTGTGTTCATATTCCCCCGTGTTTAAAATAAGAGAAAAACCCCATTCTGAAACTGTTTTTCAGATACCAAATTTTCAGATTCTCTTTGTCTCTACATTTGCTGTTACAACGACGTGTTTAGTTTGGTTTGGATGCAAACTTGTCCTCAATCCATCAGCTATAAATGTAAGTTACTAAAACAATTACTAATTGTGATACATTTATCATTGTTAAAAAACAAGGTGGGGAGGACATGTCATTACTTTGCTGCCAATATCCCACTATTCCTGCTTGGTCTGTGAGGAGAGATCATACAGCAGTAACCTTACATTTCTCTTTGCCCAGTGTTAGTTACCTGCAATAATATTCAGAAGAATCTAATTTATTTACTCTTACTTTTTCAATTTTTGTTATTTACTTCATGTACCTAGGACTAATTGAGAGAGAGAGTCCATCAGTTTAGTTACAGTGCTTCTGGAGTCAAACTTGTGCATCTACTTGGCACTGCACTGCCAAGTGTGACATGTGGCCTTGCCAGCTCATATCAGTATTAGTGCTGTGTCAAGACATGTCTAAATCATGGGAATTTTAAATCTGGATTAAGTTGTTCTGCAGGCCACACATTTGCACTTCTTTTGCCTAACAAGTCCTGTATTCTTCATTGTTGCACATTTTCTAGAAGTTTCTCAATGACATTTATCACTGTTTGCAGAGTTAGTACAACTGTACAGTCTTTTGGGTACAGCAAAGCACATAGTTTCAATTATCATTTCCTAAGCAAAAGTGAATTTTAGCGTCCAAAAAAGCCTCCTAAATCTACCACTTACTACATTTTTCAAAAAACATGTGCTGCAAGATACATGTCAGAGAAAGATGGAGATTTCATCATCAACAAAGCCGGTCTGACATGAGGAAACAACATAATTCTGTTCTAAGTTGTTGAACAATGGTTTGCTGTAATTTTATAGGTTTGGAATAGTGTCAGTTCTTCCTAGACTTTTGGTACTTTGCCCCAATGGCCTGACTGACTACCAGATGTTTTTTTGGGCTGCTGATGGAAAAACATGGTGCTTTTGTCGACAAGATAGGGTGATCAATTCTTCCTAACTTGTGTGCCTCTAGGAAATGATTCAGTCCATGCAGTGTAGGTGTCTACCTCTTTTCATGAGAATAATAAGGAACAAAAAAGCAACATTAAGTATTGCATTCACTTATTTGTCTCTTGAATATGAGCAATGGCAGCACCCATGTTTTTGCAATGTAGTCTGCAAGCATTGTGAACCCATGAAGAGTGTTTGTGAATGTTTTGCCAGCACTGAGCAGGGCACAGAACTGGGATCCTTGGTGCAGTTCTTTGGTTTGTGTTTTCATTCAGTGTCCAATATGGTAGCACACAGTTTAGGATTGCAACCTAGGAGTTGTGACCTGTGGCCCTCCTTCCCCTGAGAATGTTCCATTAGTTGCTGCAGTGTTCTGGGTTCACATAGAAGGACCTGCAAAAAGCAAACGTACCCAGCAAACACTCACTTATCATAAACTCCTCTTCTGGAGGACAGCAATAAAATCTTCAGGCAGAATATTTGCATAAATGAACTAAAAGTTTCTTTCTTAGGTTAGGCATTCTGAGTATTATATTGTTCTTGAAGTTTGTCAAGAGCCAAGAAAATAGATAACAAAGTATGTAATCAGTAGATGTGTCTAAATCTGACAGAAACTAGACAACCTGCCTAATCGTGCTAGACTCAGCCCCTTTATTTTTGATATGGAAGACATAACTCATTTATATCTGGGATTTTACTGACAGATAAATTTCAACTTGATTCTACTTATTCTGCTGGAAATCTTCATGGCAACTACTGTGATCATTTCAGCTAGGTCTACTGAAGACTGCTGTGCAAGAAAGAAAGTAGGTACTCTTAAGGATTGTGCATGGTAAAAAATTCTCCATTTTCCTGTATTACATATGCTGAAAATTTATTGGCAACACCAGTATATAACTTTGCATGCTAAATAAATATAAATAAAAGTAATGTACTAAACAGTTATTTCTTCTTTTATCTTTTAAAAGTGCAATGACTCCTCTGCTAAATTACCTGTTGAAAATTATACAGCACAGTTCTTCAAATATCTCATGAATGGGCATGGCAAATTTTTTATTTCTGTTTTGTAGAATGAAACTTGATATTGGAAAGATTAGGGTACTATAACTTGTATGTATGCAAACAAAACCTTTTTGAAGCCTGATGTAGAGAAAGTATTTGTCTTGTATGCCAGTTTGGTGGTATCTGCACAACTCTTGGCTTCAGGATTTGGGGGCTACTGATAAAAGTTTCTTTATTCACTAGTGATTTCCCAAACCCCACCCTCATTTTTCTACAACAGTACTTCTTTTAGAATGAAGCAAACATGATATGCCATTGGAAATACTGGTTAATAAAGTTGTGTAGTGCCCTGTCTTCCTTTGTCTCCTGCTGATCCACATCTGTAAAACCTGAAGGCTCAGGAGAAAAGTATATTCTTTGAAGGTGGAAAAGGAAGACAAGATGAAAATATTTCATTATTGAATGGTGGCTGTTGAACAGCTAATCTGGTACTAAATAATTTGGTTTTCATGTAATTGCTGTTGTCTGACTCTGGAGAACACCGTGATGTGTCACTGTCACCTCTTCTGGGCCAACCAGACATTACATACCACTGTTAGGACCTGTAAGAGGTTGTATAAGATTTCTAGAAAGAAATGTATTGCTTTGTATACTTTTTATAATGATTTTTTTTTATTCCCCTCTAGAATGCTGCACACGACAGTGCCGTTGTTTTGAGCAATGTCAGCTTTCCTGCTCGAATTCTGAAGTCATACTCAGTAAGAAAAGCATTGTTTCATTGAATCAATTTATTATTTCACCTTTCTAAGTGCTAAAGTTCTTTAAAGACAGGAAGAGATCACTGTAGCCAAGAATTGAATGAATAAAGACAAAAATGAGAGATATGGTAAAATATTTCCTTTTAGAAGATTGCAAAATAAATCACAACTGCTCTTTATTATGGGAAGGAGACTATCTAATGACTTAAGGATAAATAGTGTAAGCTGAACTATTGTTTGGGAGAACTAATAAATGAAAGCATAAATATGTATAATGAAGCTGATCTTGTTTTCACTTAAGCTAGCTAGTGTTTTGCCATAGTTTAGATATGGAAAACATAGACTTTATGCCTAGCTAGTAGCATAAATGTATTTTATTCTTTCTGCTGAGGTCCTTTCTATACACAAGTAGGAAATTTCGTGTTCAAATATGTTATTAATAATTTGTGTGCTCTTATTTGTTTTAGGTAATTGAGGTGATTATTGGAATTTCATCAGTATTTGGTGGAATAATTGCTTTGAATATGGATGTTCTAGTCTCAGGTCCATACCTCTCAGTAACATTCTTTTGGATCTTAGTTGCTGTAAGTAGTGCAAATAGAAGCTACTCCTTTAAAACAGTGTATTGTATTCAATTTTTTTTTTCACTTTTCTCCTCCCACTGGAGTATTTATTTGGCTCTAATACTGTTTGGGAATTGCTGCTTAGCAAATTAATTAAAACTTCAATATACTTAATATATTTATGCAATATTTTTGATCTGTTTTGGTTTGCAGTACTTCAGTTCTGATACATTCTCAGTCCGCAATTCAGTAAAATGGAAATGAGTATTAAAACAAGGGTATTACAAGTGAGGTGATCTGTCAAAAAAAGTCATAGGTTTTAGAATATTTTAGGTTGCAAAAGAAAATGTTGAGTTTAGGTTTAGCATGGTAGAATCCTTAGAACATCTTATTTAACCTCTCAGTTTAACCTGTTTTAAAAGTCTGAGGCTGTGATTGGTAACCCTTATCCCTAATAACAGCCTGTACCCAGGAGCAGTGGATTCATAAAGGATGTTGTGCCACCCTGCTCGCCATGAAGGATTTGAGAAAGAAGACAATGACCACTAGGTTTATATATATGTGTCTGTAAAATCCCTTTGCATGAAGTGGAAAAAGTTCATAAACAAGCTTTTCAGCATTCAAAATTCACAAAAGAAAAAAAGCTGTGAATACTGGGAATTACTGTAACTCAATTATAATTTTTGTAATTTTCAAGTCAGTAAATACTTACTTTGTTACACTCTTTTGTTTAGTGCTTTCCAAGTGCTATTGCAAGTCATGTAGCTGCTGAATATCCAAGTAAATGTCTGGTAAGTGTGTAAAATTCTTTAATTAGAGTGGAATAATACTAAGAAACTCTGCCTGATAGTGAGCACTAAGTTTGCTGGCTTGTTTTTAGCTGCTTCTATAAAATGTGACAAATATGTAGCAGGAGTGTTAGCTGGTGTCCCTTAAAAGAACTCCGGTAGGTCCTTTGGAGGCCTCATTTCATCAGTTCTAGAAAAGAATTTGAAGAGTTTGGTTGGTTGTTCAGGGTTTTTTTTTGTTTGTTTTGTTTTTTTGATATTTTGTAGTGATTCCTTGGGAAAAGATACTACCATAGAAAAATGACATACCTCATATGGTATGCCAAGAACTGCTTTCACGCTCCTGAGAGGAGGTTCCCTTTTTCTTTCATTATCAGTTGTGGTTTCTGAAAGAAGAAAATTAGGTGTGCAGGCTGTGCTGGACCTAGAACCTATTTTAAACAAATTCTTCATCTTTGTGATTAGCAGCAAGAACTAATAATATTCAGTAGAGTGCATTTATTCCTTGAATGTTCTAGATGTGTAGTTAAGGCTCCTTAAAATATCTGTTGTAATTAATAGTCATGTGACCATATTTAAGTGAGTAATGAGGCATAACCACAACTGAAGTCAGAATATAATCCTGTAGGGGTGATATTTGAGTGAAACTCAGCTGCTGTTGTATGGCAGTAAATTTGCCTCAGGACACTCAAATTTATTTGCATAAGATATTTTATGTTGCAAGTCTGCAATATTTGTTTTTAATTCTCATTACTTCATATAAATTGAAGGATAAATGGTGGCTTTTATACTGGCTCTCCAGATGGGGTGTTACTTCCTCTATGTGCGTGTGGAAGGCACTTGTAAAATAAAACAAAAATGTCATCATCTGTATTGAATGAAATATGAATTACAAGCCAGCAGTGTTTTGGCTAGGAAACTTAGGTTATACAAAGCTTGCTTCTGTATCTTCATGAAATGTGGATAGCTCTTAGTATTTGTGTTTTATGTATAATCTTACACAGTTTTACACGCTTCTGTTATGTTGCTTCAAGGAGACATAGCTCACAAACCAGAGTTAATTTTTTAGATTATTATTTAACATTTATTATCTTATTTTTTAGGTTGAGGTCCTGATTGCCATTAGCAGTGTTACCTCTCCTTTGTTGTTCACTGCTTCTGCATATTTATCCTTCAGTATCATGCAAGTTGTTGACATCTTTAAAAGTTATCCACCTGCTGTTAAAGTATGTGTTTTTATGCAATTGAAAAATAAACTTCTATATGTTACAGTAGCAAGGCAGTAGCAAATTAGGGAATATATGAAGACAAGGTACTGCATTATAAAGATTGAATAAAATGTTATAGAAATTATTTAAAAACTCTTGTTTGATTTATGATATAATTGAAAGTATGTTGCATCTATTGGCACCCTGAAATTGTAGTTTTAAAAATATAGGATTTTATTCTAAAGACACCGTAAAATAATATATAGCATGCTAGAGTCCTTGAGACTTTTATAGTTTGTAGTATTTAAATTAAAGATTCAAGGTGTCCTTGAAGAGTACATTTTTCTGTTTCTTAGGATGCTTATCAATCGTTGGGATTGTAAGCTTACACCTGGATTTATTCAAAGTATGGATTTGGACAGAGAAGAAAAAGTTTGCAAAGTTTAAAGCCTTTCAGTATGAAATGTTACCTGTGCATTGCTGAAGAGCTTTCTTGTGCTCTACTGGCAAAGTGTGTTGCCAGTCCCGGATGTTGTTCAAAGAACCACTTAGGGGCATTAGACCAATGTCATTAAGAGTCTCCACTAGTCATTAAGTAGTCTTGTAACTTTAGAAGAAAAGAGGGAAAATGTTTGTTAAACTAATATCTCAGGGACTGGAAAATAAACTGCTGAGTATGTGATCCTGTTCTTATTCTGGAGGAGTGTTGTTGAACCTCTGGAATGGTGACAGCTTACATCCCCTCTTTAAGTAGCTTCTCCTGTCACACATGTTGGAGACAGATGACTACACTGTCTAGACAGTTGGTGTGACCCTGCAGAGCATGTCTTACATTCTCACTCTGCTTTGTGTGTGGTTACAAGAGTGGGCTGCTCTGCACAGGGTGATGAGCTATGGAGCAGGAGGAAACAGCAAGACAGAGAAAGAATGGTAACTTCATTGGCAAGCAGAGCAGTCCTACAGCACCCCAAAAAATAGTAAAGGAAGGCAGGTCCAGCCATAGTAGCCAGGTGCAGTAATTGCCAGGTAAGTCCACAGTACTGAGGCAGATCCAAGGTCATCCGGGAACTCAGGTCAGCAGGGCAAGATCAGAGCCAGCAAGGCACAGGGCCAGGCCCAAACACAGCTGTGACATTGCTTAGGTCAGAACCAGCAGTTAGACACTATTTTAGAGGATAGTTTTCTCAATTCTGTTCTGTTTCCAAAGGAAAAGATAATTTGACAGATTAACATTTTCTTAGAAGCTATAGATCTCTTCTACTTTGAACAAACTCAGGCACTAAAATTTTGGTTGAAACTTTATGCTGAAATAAACCATAAATTATAATTTGATTTAAAAAGTCTAGATAGGAATTTTTAAAGTATAGAGATGGGAACATTATCAAATATTTTATTCAGGTAGTTAACAACATATGTCTATTTTCAGCAATCCTATGATGTACTCCTGTTGCTTCTGATGTTGATGCTGCTAATTCAGGCATGCCTTACTATTGGAACCGTAATACAGTGTGTGAATTACAAGACAAAAATGAAGCTACAAGATTCAGCATGGACACCATCACAGGTTAAAAAACAGGAATACAGAACAACAGAGGTTTGTATTTATACCCACTAGAAAATTTGAAAATACCTATTTTAAAATACTTTTTTGGGGTAATATTTTGTGGTCTTAAGTTCTGATCTTAATTCAGACCACAATTAAAAGCTGTTCTATGAAACTTAATTTTGTAATCAAGAGATAATAGTTTCCTGGTTAGATGATAACTGGGCATGACATGGGACACAGAACTGTACCCCTTAGGCTTTCCTTTGCTGTACAGAGCTACACCCTGTATCCTTAAAAACTCTCAGAGTGTAACTCATGCTTACTGCAGTAGGAGAGTGCTGGATTCAGTCTAGCACTGGATAGAAAGTGCTGGGAGCAGAGATTGAAATCAGTCAAGTCAGTAAACAGCTGCTAATGGAAAGTGGAAGCTTTGGAATTATGTCCCTTCAGGCTGCTGAGGCTATTTGGTGTAGGTTGTTTATTTGCTGGATCTGTGTCCTGGGACTTAGGTTCTGTATAAAAGATGAAGCACAGCAGCACTTCCACTGCTGCAAGTCATGTCTTGGAGCATGGGTCATGGCATGGCTAAACAGATCTCTGCTGGAGATTATTGACAAAACTATTCCTGGTTTGTGAGTCACTGAGAAATTAGGTGTGAGTTAAATGCTAAAAGGAGCACTTTCTCTGCAAAAGCAACATTTTTTGCTTACTTTTTAGTATTTAAACACATGAATAATATTAGAGGTGAAGTTGCAAGTCCCTTTGGCTTTTCAGAAGTCTGTGTTTTCAGACAAGACCTTACTTTGTTTGCATGTATGTAGGTAAATCTTGCTTCAGTTGCACCATGATAGGCTGCTTCTGGCTTTGGGATTAAAGGTGTAGGTGCAAAGGCTTTCAGTCATATTTTAGAAAAAGTCTTGAAAAAATGTTCTAAGTTACTTGTTTAAAATGGGAATTTGGCCAAATTTGGCCAAGTTTCTTAGACCCAAATATTTCAAGTATTGTACAATTTACACTATTTCATTTTATATCCTAAATATAAACTCTATAATATACAAAACTATACAATTTACAAATGTATAGAATATTTTAATAGCTCTGGCTGTACCTATTTACATTTGTATTCTGCTAGATTTTCTCAGGTATTTATTTGCTTGAACTTCAGTTTTTAATCAAAACATTTTTTCATTATTGCATTTGTCTTAAATTTGTTTACTTTTAGGTTTCCAATAATACCTTAAAGGATTTTGACAAAGATAAAGCTTGGAAAGCAGTTGTGGTGCAGATGGCTCAGTAGTTTGGATTCTACAAATGCAGCCAACACAGCACAATCCAATAAAATAAATCAACTGTTTGAATGAAGGTTTAAAAACTTACATTTTTAAACAGCGCTATAGTTGCAGCAGTAGGAGCCATGGAATAACACAGTAAATGATGTATCTTTCTAATAATTTTAAATTTTGTTGATAATATTTTTAATACATCTGTCTTTTCTGTTGGTATCTGTAGCCTAGTATTTAGAAGATACCTTTAGAAAAAGGTAATGAGTCACATGGATTTATGCTGATGGCAAAGTAAAATATTGCAATATGTAGTAGGCTTCATATATGAGATTGTTGTAACTGCAGTTATGCAGTCAGTGTGACTGATAAATGCTTTTGTAAAGTTATGAGTACAAGTCATAATTGATGTTTTTGCTTATACTTCACTTTTGTAGGAGTTGTAAAGTGTTCTGCATCTTATTGCTTTTATATAAATAAAAGTCTTTATTATGTGGAAACTCGAGAATGTGGATTGACATTCTAATCTGAGAGGTGACAACAGAATATTCTTTCCCATTAAACTTCAATTTCTGGACTATTAAATGGGGGAGAGGCTTTTTCTGAGTGCTGGGACACAAGAGCTGCTAGCCAAACTAAAACATCCAACAAACAGAAGCAACTGGCCAAATAACAGAAGATAATACTGATATTGAAAGAGATTTTTTTATTATTTTTTATTTTTAGGTATATTACCTCTCATTTATTTCTTTTCCTAACTATTTTTAAAAGCTATGCAACTTAGCTGCCCTGAAACAAGGGACATCCCCCATACAGATGGCCTTTTCTTGTAGCTGAACTATGGGTACAATTGGGTAGATTTCGAACTCTATTAGAATTTCCAAGTTAATAGGAATTCTGGGGTAACCAGGGTGATAGCTGCTGACAAGGTGGTGAGGTTATTTTTTTCCTGGTTTTGTTGTTTTATTGTTGGGTTTTGAGAGGTTATAGACTTTGAAGTTCATTCTTTTTTTAATGTGAAATAACTCAGATTGTTTGTTCAGAGCATGCTGCAAAGATTCGCTCTTTGCATTTGAGAAGGGGAAAGAAAGAGAGAAGGGTGTGTAGTGTTTGGAGCCTTTCAGGCACAGGAACATGTTTCTTTTCATTTTGGGAAAGCTGACAGTTATTCTGGATTTAAATACATAGAGGCTACTCTTTCAAGTTTAGAGCAGTGCTTTTTAGGAGCGTGTATACAGCAACCTCCCTGTCCCCCTAAAAATAATAGGGTGTGCTTTTGGTCCAGACTACTACAACCACAGGCTGCAGCTGCTGTTTCTTAATTATTGCAAAATTTCATGCCTGTACTGGTGGTACTTGTGTGACCATTCTCTCAATGTAACAGATAATTAATTGTATATCTGCTACAATCCTACCAATTTTACAAGTAGGAAAAGTTAGGTTGGCGGTACCCTATATTTTTGAAAGTTGCAAAGAAATAGTTACAGTTCTACCTAAAAATAAACATCTAACTTCCTAAATCTCATGCATGAAACTGGAAAAAGACTGTAGAGTGTAGAAGTTCTTCATGAATCATTTAAAGTAAAAAGAGATTAATATGTAGACTAGCGTGAATGTAACTTAACCATTTCCTTGATGGTTTGCTTTATGTTATATGGTAAAACACTTTGTTCAACTGAATCTGTATCTTTAATAAATTATCTCTATGTTTTCTGTCAAGTGAAGATGGGCATTGGTTATCCAGGTTAGATATAAGTAGATATTATTTTGTAAATGATTTAGGTGGGAAAAGAAATTAAGGGAAGTTGCAGAGCTGATGGAATTTCCTTTCCACAAAATGCTTAGACAAACAAAGCAGACAAAGGCACTTTAACTTCCTTTTGAGTCAAATGGCTTGAGGTGCTGTCTTCTAAAGTGAGAGCATTTTAAACAGCTCCTGATTTTTTTTTTAAATTTTATTTTTTTTTTCTGTCAGGAGTGACTATGAAGAAACAAAGCATATATAATAGGAGATGTTTGCATTTCTCTTGGGGAACTAAAGTGTTTTAATAAGACGTGAAGAAAATAGCATTAATCAAAAAAAGAGAGAAAAACTAAATAGCCTTAACAGGATGATTGAGTTAAAATTTGAATTGACCCTGAGATAAGAAATATTTAAGATATATGAGTGTATCTGAGGTTTTTTAGTCATCTTAGATTAACAAGGGATGGGAATAAAAAAAGAGATTGTAATAGAGCTGCCAGCCATAGATTCTGCTTTGCAGTGAAGATGAACATCCCAGGGCTCCCTGCCTGGCCATGGCTCCCTTCCTGCTCTGTTCAGCACAGCAGAGACTGGACAATCTCCCTGCATGCCTGGTAAACTAGGAGCCCCAACCATGGATACCTCTCTGGAGGCTGAATTTTCTCATACTCTGCCAGAAGAAAAATCATGGAGGTAAGAGGCAGGCTTTTAAAATCATAATTAATGTAGGGCTGGCTGCTGACATGAAAAGCATTTCTCAGGCAGAGAAAGTTTCACTGTAAATCTCACTCTGTGTGTCAATGTTTTTGTAACTCAAACCAACACCCCCATCCTTCTTTACTAAAGGACTTTTTGTATTGATGTTTGACACAGTAAATCTTGATAGCTTGAAGCTTTAATTAGGGTCTGCTGGTTGACGATCTATTTCCACAGCAAAGCTAGAAAACCTGTTAAAGGACAAAAATCATATCCCTCTCTGAGGTCAGCCTGGTGAAGGAAATGTCTATGTGCCATGTTAGAAGGGTTTCTGCTTGGAAATGTGCCATTTCCTGCCTTGCTGGGTATCACTGCAATTAATGCCATGGCTGACTGCTTAGCTTATACCAGGAGTTAGGTTCCTAGCTTAAAAAAGATAGCTAAAATTAAGAAAAGATTTAACTGGGTAAGATGAAAAAAAAGCAGACTGAAGCATCTCCTGAAAAAAAATAAGTTGTGTGCACATGGTGCATGAATGATTTACTTTTAACCCCTCCACATGTGCTAATAATTCCACATCATGCACATGGTGCATGAATGATTTACTTTTAACCCCTCCACATGTGCTAATAATTCCAGTTTCTCTGAGCTTTAAGTTCATAAAAGTATAGATTGTCCACAAAAATTTTGGAGAATTGTGAATATAATTTCTTATTATCCTTTTACTTTTTTCTAAGCAGATTTTTTTTAACACTCAAGTTTTTCATTTTCTTCTTTAATAATTTTATTAACGATTTCAGAGGGGTCTAAAATGATTTTTTTAAATAATTAAAAAAAATTTCTTTATTTCTTTAATAATGCACGGGACTTTCAGCAACCTAATTTGGAACTAGATTATCTTTAAAATTCCCTTTTAGCCCAAACCACTTTATGATTGTATGATTCTAATCTTAGGAAAAGAAAGTCTTCAGCATCTGTGGGTTGTGCCTGGCGTGTAAGCAGTGCACCTAAGGTGCTGCCTATGTTTGCTGTCATTGCTGAATGCTTGTGACTCTTGAAGGAAAGGGATGGTGGGTGAGGAGAGTGAGGGTCCCTTTGAATCACACAGATGAAAAGAGTACTGGTTGTCTTGGACTGTGAATCAGTAACTTGTTGAGTACAGAAGCACTGGGCAGCTTGTGTTTCACCAGCCTGTCTTGTGTCTCTCTGGGCTACAGGTGCCCTGCTGGTACCTCTGCTGCTCACCTGCCCTGGCTGCACAGGCTCACTCTGGACAGGAGATACAGGCACGATCCCAGAAAAGTGCAGTTCCCAAGCAGCTCTGAATCCCTTGTGAGTATTTTGTTGTGATGATAGTAGCACCTCACACCACTCCACTCCAGAGTATGACAAGAAGCTGTTCAAGTTATAATGTCCTATGGTTAATGTATGTGGTCTGGAGACACAATGTCTGTTGCTTGGAGCAGGCAATACAACTGCACACAGGGTTAAAATAATAGCCAGGGGACTGTTATAGCATTGTATGTGTGCCTGTGTTAGTGAAACTGGGAAGAACATAGTGATATGTCACAGGGTCCTCTTGCAAAATGTAGTGTGAATGTGGCTATTGTGCTGCACAGAAGCCTGGGACTTCTCCAACATGGATGTGACAGGAACATGCCTTCCAGCATAGACATTGATGTTAATTTAACAAAGTCAAAAAGTAATATAGCCAAAGCAGAAATCTCTTGGGAGTTTTGTGCTTAAACTCCAACACATCAGGTCACAAAATCCATTTCTGGCTGCCTAGGTATGTCTGGTGATACATCTGTCCTAACTTTCATTTTCAAACGTTTCCCGTACAAACTTGACCAGTGGTGGAATGATTTTCCCTTTTGAAGGGGGCCAAGTATGTATCCAAGCATACTTGACTAATTAAGAAAAAGGTACATGATCTGATGGTCCAGAGATCAAACTTGACCCAAGAGAAAATGGGGAATCTAAAATACTGGATTTCACTCTGTACTCTAAGGTTGACCTGTGCACTTCATTAAAAACACCCTGAACCACCAAGGCACCATCCTGAAATGTGCAAGATTTGGACGCAAACCTTCTTGGACTGAAATGTTTAGATTCTGGCTTTTCTGTGTTCTTGACCAGTGCTTTAATAAAGATCTAGGGTGCAAAATATCTCTATTACCAAAGTGCAAAAGAAGGCCCTTCCTATTAAGGGTTTTTAAAGGATCTTTTTTCTGAAGATGGAGGGAGCATTGGTAGAAACAGAACAATACCTTTTGCTATCATCCCTTCTTCAGGAATAAAGTAATGAAAGCATCAAACTAAAGACAAATGTGGATTAAAATATAGGTAAGGTACAGTAACTAACAAGGATAAAATGACATCTGTTAGAAAAAAATTTTCAAAATTATGATCAAGAATTAGAGTCCCATTTGAGCACAGAGCCTAAGAGATATTGTCCCTGTAAATTTCAAATGCACCAATGCTTCTATATAACTGATAGTTTTCAAAAAAATGTGGCATGGGTCAATTATACTGCCCAGCTTTTAGTGAGAATCTTAATGGGGGTTCTGAAACCTGATGTAATATAAACAGTGGATGAACACAGTAATTCCAGGATACAAATCATGCAGGAACAGTGAAGTAGCTAGTTTAGACATGATTTAAAAAATAAGGTTCAAATGAAACAAATAACAATAAAGTTGTTGCCTGATAAACTTAATAACAGCTTCAGTCCACACAGAAATGCTCTTGACTGAAACACAGTTCCTGCATAGAAAGAATACATTGTTAGATCTATGCTTTGATCAGCTTTATTCAGAATGTGACAGAGGTGCCCTAAGAAATACCAGAAACAGTGAGAGAATAAAATCTCTTAAGGCAAATCACACTGTTTATTTCTGTGGAAACTGGAGGTATAAGGAGAGTCAAAATGGCATTTGCTAGAGAGTAAAATATTCTTGAACTGCTCACTCCTTAATATTGTCTGCAGGACCCTCATCTTACAAAAGGGTATAGTAAAAAGCTGTGACTATTTTGCAAAGGTGAGATGAAAATGGATAT